ACCTCACCTCACCTCACCTCACCTCACCTCACCTCACCTCACCTCACTCCCTCACGCACTTTCTCACGCCCTCTCACACACTCAGTCAGTCAGCCAGGCAAGCAGGCAGTCAGTCAGTGACTAGTTGGTGAGGTATCAAGGCAGTGAGGGAGTGAGTGAGTGACTGAGTCAGGCAGTCAGTCAGTCATATAATTGTTCACTTCCGCACTCCTCGTCTGCATGCATTCATTTCGTCTTCCTCTTCTTTCTTCCCCTTCTTTCGGCTCATCGGTTCTAATAAATACAAAACATAGACTTCACATGTGGGTTATCCGGTCCTTGAGCTTTTGGTTCGTTCCCTGGTCCCTGTAGTCCAACAAATGATAGGTAGCCTTTTGGCTGCCCTCCTTGCAGCTGCTCCCCAGCTGAGCGGCGCGACATTGAAGGCTCTGATGTCCAGATGTTGCAGACGATTGATGTCGTATTCTTTGGATTTCTTTGGCATTGTTGTATTCTATGGTTTTGAAGGCCAAGATCTCGTCTGATGCACATTTAGCTGCAGGCGAAGGGCATGTCAAAGGCTCAAGTGTCACACAGCGGTCAAGTTGCTGGGTGTGATGTCGAATGAGCCTCATTGTCCTGCATCCCATAAGGAAGTGTTCGCAAGAAGTGCAGACACTGTACAGGCGCACGTCCAATAGAGTCAGGAGCCAGAAGAAAGGGTCCAGATTGAGGTCCTTGAATTGAGCGATATGCCTAAAAGTCATGCTCTTAGGGTGGAGGCCCTCACAATTAGGTTGGAGGCCATCGCTAGTAGGTTGGAGGCCATCGCAATTAGGTTGGAGGCCATTGCTATTAGGTTAAGAATCTTAATCAAAAGCCTTGGCTCAGCAGGTTGGCGATGCCACCGTGGCAGAGAACGTGGAATTCCTCACGAAAACGCTCGCCAGGCCTCAGGGCTGCTAGCACCGTTGCCGGGGTGCGGAAGTGTCAGGAGTGTCTCGGGTACCGTCGCCGTGGCAGGTTTCAGAGCTTCGCAAGCAGCGCACAGCTCAGCATTCAAATGCGACATCGAAAGGAAGAGCAAAGATTGAAGGACTGGGCTAAGTTAAGATCATTAGGCGGTGAAGTTGGACAGATCTTTTTCAGCTGAGTGAACATGAACATCAGGAAGTACTACAATACTAAACAGTTTGGGTAGTCTAATAGGAAGGCGTGCGCCGCAAGAAGCACCGAACAGTCATTGTACAATCCACACGTGTCTCGACTCCGTTTGAAGCCCGGGTGCAGATTCACTTGTTTAGACAAAGCATGGCAGCAAGATGCAGCAAGGACGCTACTAGGGGCTCCTGGCCTCGCTACTAGGAGCAAGGACTACGAACGGGGCAAAACTATTCTGTCAGGACTCGATTTCCCAAGCCAGTGATGCCAACGTAAAGAAAGCGTTGGAGCAGAGTGCCTGGATCCCTAGCCACTTTGCAGGACTCGCTCCCTTGATTTGCCCGAGCCAAGGTAGCTTCAAACAATCAAGCCCTTGAAGAAACTCAAGGCATTTATAGCAACATTGCCAGGAACCTACAGATGCCCGGCTCAGACCATTCCTTCTGCACACTCATGAACAGGTCTCGTTTTCCAACGACATGCTCTCCATGTTGAAGAAGACCTCCAAATCAGGCTCTCTTGCCTTCCAATTCAAACCGGTACTGCCCTTACCACGTTGCATGTCTAGGCCTTACCTGCGACCAGCTCTCCTGTGGAAAGCATGCGTCCTGCGCAGATACTTTTCAAGGCACCCACCTTAGGACCGAGGATGGCGCTGACAGTAGTGAGAGTTCCGTGGCTTCTGAGGTGCGAGCTGCGTTTGTGACGAAGGCTATGTTGGTTTGGGGCAGGACAGAAGGCCTATTTAATTTCTTTTTTGAGAGTGGGGGAGGTTAGGCCGCTAGGAGGTGGTAGCTAGGGAGTCGCTAGTAGGGAGAGGTCGCTAGTAGCTACAAGTGAACGCTAGTAGTAACTGGACTCGGACGTAATAGCTCACGCTTCTAAGATTTTTTTTTTTTTACTTAATTTTCTATCAAGCACTTGCGGACATGCCCTTCGGATGGCTTTATTGTGGCTGCCAGGAGTGCCATGCACCGACTGAATTTCAGCCACACTTGCTTCTGGGTGAAAATGCAGCCCAGGCTGCTGACATTCATGTGCTTCGCCCCAGTGTGACAGGCAGATAAACGAACATCAAGTCTCACTGAACAGAAAGAACTGTATGAGTAGCAGAACTTTGAAATGGGTGGGTCCTGGCTGGGTTCAAGATTCATGTGCAAAGGTTGCAGCTTTCGACGACAACAAGGTGGCTGTGGTATTTCGCGACATGAGCAAGGACAGCGGGCTCGCGTTCAGCAATGCATTTTTGAACCTGTGAGCACAGAATACTCAAGATGTTGTGAAACTGAACCTCCCAAACTTAAATCAGTGTTCTTCACTATCTGACTCCGAACGAACAAGAGAAGATAAAGGCAACCTGCTGCTTCGCAGCACGTATCGCCATTTTTCTGAAATCTAATGCCACATTACAGCAAAGACACGTGACAACGTTGTTTTGCTTCACCAGCCACAGAAAGTGCTTTATTTATTTAGAGTTGGGGGCCTAATGGCTTCAAGGCTGGCGCGGTGTGTGCTGACTTTTCCAGGACAATGCCGGCGCAGTTGTCGTTGGAACTGTGAGCGAGGCGGGACTCAACTGATTTTCCTGGGACTGTCCAGGAACTGGTGGCTTCAGACCCCACTCTGAGTGGAGATGGATGGAGATGGTTTGCTTGAAGACCGATCCGCTCAACTAGTATTTTTTTATTGATTGGTACCTGCCAGGCTGGGTCACTGGAGCTTTCGCCCGTGGAGCTCTTCACAGCTCCTGGAGCTCAGGCGAGGAAACTATGATATAGGATGATATAGGTCAAAAAATGTCAACCCAGTACTGTACCACTTTTTCTTTATGATTTGAGTAATCAATTACATATTACGGAATAGTCTACCAACTGCCATCTGACTGGTTTTAATGTTTGCATCGCTATCTCAAACAACAGCTAATGCAGTGGCTATGGTGATGAACGCGAAGATGAAGAAAACACATATTCTGTAGCCCCTAGTAGCTTCTTGCTCCTAGTAGTAAGGCCAGGAGCGCCCCTAGTAGCGTCCTTGCTCCTAGTAACGTTGCCCTTTGTTCCTAATATGCCCTCTTTGCTACTAGGATGAGACTTGGTCCTTTGAGTTGATCAGGCCTTTTCACCAGTAGTGACTGGAACAGATGGGCGGCGCATTGCGATTGCTTGGCGCGATGGGCAGAGGAGTGGAACCTGCAGGCAGAGTCGTCGGGCCGAGAAGCAGGAACAAAGCAGACAAAGCGGGACCAAGCTTTTGGCCTCTGGTGAAGGGCTGGCCGTTGTAGTTCATAATTAGAGCGCCAGTGCCGAGTTTGCGTTGCGCTACGTAGCCCATCAGGAAAGGCCCCAGCCGGCTACAGAGACATCTAGCTGCGCCTGGATGATCGACATTGATCCACATCTGACCCCCTTGAGAATCCAGGAGAACCCAACCCACCGTGCCCCGAACATACCCAAACATTGTCCAAACACTTCAAACCCTAAGCAAACAAACCTTGATCCCGTCTTTCAACAGTCGTAGCTTGATGGTGCTGGGGTTTATTATGGTTTAGTGTCAAGATGTGTCAAGCATTTCTTGGGCCTGCTTGTCGCCCAAATTTGCCGAAGTTGCGACCATGCAATCCTTACAAAGATATTTTGACAAACTTGATACTGACCCACTGTTCAATTCCAACAGGTCCTTTGTCTTGCCTGCACAACCACCTCTGTATTCCCATGTTCCTCTTGAGGAAGTATCGTTTTAAATGCAATGTGATTCGAGTACATTGTTGGCTCTTTACCCCTAAACACATATTGATGACCAAAGGCTCCTTGACATCTTGTGAAGCATGCCAGATTGCGGGCGGCTGCGCTTGGCAGCTCCGGCATCCGCGGTGCAGAAATGGCCTCTGGCTCAGAAAGCCACAGTAGTGAAGCTAGGAGAGCCACACTGAACATCTCTCCCTGTGGTTTCACGACCAGACTGGTACGCTAGCAGGTTGGAGGCCATCGCTATTAGGTGGAGGCCATCGCTATTAGGAGGCCATCGCTAGTAGGTTGGAGGCCATCGCTATTAGAATCAAAGAAAAAAGACAAGGAAGAAAGGTCTGCAGTAATATTTAACGAAGGTGATTTCTCAAGTGACTCAAGTGACTTAAGCGGAGAACTCACCAGGCCACCTCACTCTCGTCAGAACTGGACCCTGCACCTCCATGCACCTCCCCCCTGGATTGTATTTGGCTCTGCAGACATGTGGAAACTCGATTCCTGCAGAAACCGTCAGGTTAATTCTAAAATCACTCTTATCTAGATTCCCAGGCCAGAGGCAGCCAGAGGCCATATTATTAGTTTAGGAAGTCACAGGATGTTGTGTTTTGCATTTGATCACTATGAGGTCAAACAACCCACCCTTACAATCAGAGTATAGAACATCTCACTCGATTCCATGCTCCGTGTGGCCATGTCACACCGGCGCATGTCCAGATTCTTTGCGTGCCCCGATTTGCAGGGCTTGTTGAGTCTGTAATCCGTTGGAATTCATTGGAACTCCATCAGGGATCAAGACATTCTTTCATCCGTTCGACTGGCTGGTTTGCCGACCCCGGACCGAACGTCATGGGAGGTCCCAAGCAGAAAGCATTTGGCGATCACTGGAGCTTTGCAGGCCGAAACACCTCAAATCCTTTAGCAACTGTTTAAGCCATGAGTCGACGCTGAAGATCCCTTTTTGCGCAGGTCTTTGCCTCAGAGAATGCCACCTCAGCTGCCTTTCAAAGAGGTGCATCGCTGCGTGTCGGCAAGTTGTGGAGCCCTCCGTCAAGTTGTTGGGCCCTTCGGTCCCCTTCGGTCCCAGCAAGGCGCCTCTTTGGAAGCGACTGGCTGAGCCAATGTGGCCGACCTTTCAGTCGCAAAGCGACTGGCTGATTGAGTTCAGAGAAGTTCTGCCATGCGAGGATGGGGGACGTGGGGGCACGAACTCGCTGGATAAGATCTGTCAAAGCCTTGAACGATGCCAGTTTGGCGGATTTGACAGTTGGAAATTTGACTTCTAGCCCCAGGAGCTCAGAGAGAGGCCCGGCCTACTTTGCAAAGGGAGGCCTGGCCTCGTTCAGTGCATCCGAGTGGCGTGGTCTTTTCAGCCTTTCGGCCCAGGAGGAAGAAAGGTGGCTGGGGCCACAAGCGCGGCCGTGGTGGCCAAAAGGGAAAGCGCTGTTGAGGTTGGTTGGAACGCACCGAGAGTCGGTGTCTTAAACTCCGGAATTCACTGACTCACTGGGATCTTACGGGATCTTACCAGAAGCAACACCAACGTAGCGTAGTTGCATGTTGAACCTTTAGCAACTTTGACTGAAACTGAACAACTCTCAACCATTAAGCCACAAATTTAGTGCTGGCTTTGTGGAACAACTCACCTGAAAGTTGCACGCTCCTTGCTTTGATGACCGAGGTCGGTTTGTGAGTGGGACAGAGATTGTGATCGCTCACAGGGGAAAAAGAAGCGACTGCAGCGACTTTGTGCCTGCGGCACTTCGTACGGCACCAGTTTTGCTTTGCACCTTTGCACCTTTGCACCTCGCTCAGCAGGACTTCATTCTACGAATTCCTTTCGATCGCTTGAATGCTTCCCATGCTTCGCATGCGTGCCAGAATCATGCACCTGCAGGGTTTTCCTTTTTCCAAAGACCCAAGCTTTCCTGTCTCATGGCGGGTCCCGAGGCCTTGGTATGGGGAACCACCGTTGACTTTTGCAGCAACCAGGCCCAGTATGTGTGGACGAAGCGCTTGCGACCGAAGACTGTTTGGGACCCACGAAGCTGTGAGACGAAGACTGTTTGTGGAGCCAGGCACACAAAATGTCCGTCCAGTCCTTTGCTCCAAATCGGATCATGGTGTTGTACTCCGACAAGGCGGCGAGCTTTTTCTGGAACATCCGGCAGTCTCAGACTGATGCCGTTCCTTTCACAGTCTCTTTATTGGGCATTGACATCCGGCTTGCTTTAAAGCCTGTTGGGATTTATTGGGCATAGCTGCCTGGAGCAGACATTTTCCACATGCGGTCTGGCCTATAATTTGTATCCAAGGCTATGATCCTATCGCTACTTACACTGGGTCTGTCCAAGATCGCAGTATGAAGGGCAAACATCGTGTCCAGATCACGCAAGCAAACGATCGTGTCTGTTGTCAATGCTCGACTGGAGCGAGCATCGGAAGAGACACATGCAGCTGCAATGGCTGAAGGGGCAAACTCAAGTAATTGCATGTAATTGCTATATTACTACATGTGTGCCTACAAGGCGGTATGGCAGACATGGAATCTGCGTTTGACAGGCCACAGGGTCCGAGACAGCAGAGTCTTTCGGGAACTCGGTGCTTGCAGACATAGGCAGCATCGGTGCCTTTGCTGAATGATTGCTGTTTCCTGTCAATCCCAAAAGAAGGTTCCTTGGATGTTTATGAGTTTCAACCAGACACGCGCGTTTTGCCAGTTCCTGTCGTGCATGCGCCCATGAGCAATGATGATAGCTAACCGTCAAGTACTTCAGCAATAACTCCCAGCTCCGTCTTGAGGGTTTCTTTCCAAATCAAGTTGTCCCCTTGCACTGCTGGGATTTGTATTGTAGGCCAAGTCATCCTGGCGTTTTTCCTCCAAAGCAGACCAAGTTGCCAAGGCGAGATCTCTCTTCTCGGCAACTTCCGCTTCACTGATAGTGCGGTCGCGCGCCTAGAGGCCGCTGAACATGTGATTCCTTTGGTTTGGGTTCCATCCTTTCGAAGTGAAACTCTGCATGTCCCTCATGTTTGGTTTTGCCTTTCACTCAAATTGCAGCCGGGGCCGCATACCCAGCAAAATCCAATTTCTTCCAGGTTCATTAAGTGCAACACTGTGCATAGAGGCCAAACGAAGCTCCCATTTAACTAACAAGTCTCCTGAAGCATCTTGAATCAGTCACAATGGCACTGAAGGAGGAACAACAACGAGTAGAGAGGAACCGGAGTATGCAGATTAGGCACCGCTTGCACCAACACAGCCAGGCGGCGAAGGTGAGCAAGAATGGCTTTGTACTGGTTGCTCAGCTCTTTAAACTGGTCAATTCAAACAACCCAAGAACCCACAACAATGGTAGAGCTGCTCTGGCCTAATCTGCCTGAAGCAAGATTCTCTTTGCTTCAACACACCTGCCATTGGTGCGCAAGACTCAGGCAGCTCGAGCCTCCCCTGCAGTGGATGACATGAACCCCACGCCTGTCAAACAAGAGGCCGATTCGGTTTAGCTGCAAGTTCTAGTTGGTATTTGGCTCTCTAGATCTCTCTAGACAACCGCGTATTTGAGATATCACACTGTGTATGTGTATATACAATATGAAATAAGGGACCCTTTCCATTGTATTTGTATCATTGATGCAAAGACAAATAACGTGTCTCTATTGGGTTCAGGTGTGTGCGGATTGGTGTTTCAACAGGGCTATGCCCATTCGAAGCATTCGTTTAACAGGAGCAACCTGTAGGGTTCAAAAGCAGCGGTTGAACCCCCACGGAGCTCTAAACATGAATGACCCAGGCAAACCTATTGGCACGAGTTTGTTAAATCGATAAATGAGAAACGTACCTGAAGATAAAGAAAGGACTCAAGAACCACAAGTAAGTTTCCCTAAAAATCTAAGAACCAAATCATTAGTGCGAGCACTTCTTCAAGGAAGCTCCCCGGCCCGCAGGCGGGGGAGCTTCCTTGATGAAGCGTGAGCTATCCTGCATCCAGTAGGTAGTAGCGTCCAAGTTGCTAGTAAACCTCAATTAAGTAGGAGAGAATTGGGAAGAAAGAATGCAAATAGCAAAGGAGTATGCAACTCCAAACCCACAAAGCGGGATCCACCATCTCGCTGCCCATTTTAGGCCATGGCCATGTACGGGGAGCTGGTTGGTGATGACTTGGTCTTTGATCCAAATCCAGTGGAGTGCTTAGTGCTTGGTAACAACACCATGACAGTGGACTTGTTCAACAATCAGTTTGAAGTTGCATGCCTTGATCATGATGGTGAATTCCGAGGTCAACCTAGAGCCTGGACAAGTTTGGGCTCGAGGTCTTTCTCTGATTGCGCCAAACACACTGGCCTATGCATACCAAGATGCTTCGATCCTTGCTTGAATGAGCCAACTCCGGGCTTCCATGCTGATTTCCAACTCTGAGTAGTTGACCACCATCCTGCAAGGAACATTTCTGCATGAATGCACAGGCACCAGATGCATTTGCTAGAGCCAACATGTAATGATACAGACCCATACGTAGTGTTTCCACACCGCCAGCTAGGGAGGAACGGCATAAGTTTGCGCACGGCTCAGGAAGATGGAGCTGAAGATGGCCGTTCTTGACATTGACCCACAAACCCATCGGATGAAGGTCCCTCCTGCTGTGCCGTTTTTGAGGATTTCCCAAGCAACCCACGGATGTTGCTGAAACAAAACTTTGGCTGAGTGCAAGTAGAAGAACGCCTTGACCATCGAACCATTGAGGTTGTTGAAGATCCGTCAACCTTCCAAAAAGGATTCTCGTGAATGGCTCAGCCATGTGGGCCCTAAACTTGACCAAGTGTGATGTTGGATGTGCTCAGGCCATATGTATCGATGCTGTCAATGCCATACTCAGAGTTTGGGACACAGCTTGGAGCTGGCATTTTGGGTCAAACGACTTAAAAGAGAAGAATGGCCATCGCTAGTAGGTTGGAGGCAGTTAAGAATCTCAATCAAAAGAAAAGAATGGCCGGACCTTTCAGGTCTGACCCGTACACCTTGACCTACTACCAAGGCTTGCCGCTTCACACTGGACACATGTCTCTTCACTCTTTTTCTTGAGACTCTGCAGGTGAAAAGAATGCCATTGCAAGCATTTGTGCTTGGAATTCTGGCCGTCAGCACATTGAAAAGTGCGAGGCCTGCTCTGATTCGAAACACCAACAGCCTTTCATTGCTGTTCGAAGTGGCAGGATTTCCCCTGGCTCTCACAGAAAGTCTCCAGCGTCTCTGGCACACCTGTTGGAGAAGGCAAACATTGGGCCCTCACTGATTGGCAGATTGGCAACATCTTTTAGTTATATAGACATAATAATTAGAATTAGTCTTTTCTCAATCTTCTTTCGAATCAAGAACGTTTGGAAGAAGCCCTGACTGTCTTTGGAAGTTGCCAGTCTGCTTGCTCTCGAGTTGCACTCCACTTTCACTCAAAGCATCGTCACTAAGTAGCTACAAACGCAGGCCGGGTCATGATGACCTTCGTCGAGTCAGATGTCCCGTATGGGACTGAGACCATGACCGTTTCATGCAGAGTCGAGCCACTCAAGCTTGAACCATAGGTTGACGGTGACAAAGTTGGATTTTCCAACCGCGAAAGACTGGCAAGTTCTTTCTCTTTGCATATCTTCCAGGTACTAGTAGTAACAAGTGCCTTACTAGTAGTAACAAGAAGCTATTAATTTCATATCTTCCAGGTACTACATGGTCTTCGGCCTGTCCAAGAAGTGAAGACCTACTCTCTCTCTCTCTCTCTTGAGACTGTCACAGGCGACCTGAGGATTCACCCACAGAGAGGAAGGCATCCCACATGTGTCCGCATGGGTGCGAGCAAAAACCGTGCGCTTTGCTTCGATTTGTCTCTCCCAGCTTAGATCTTTGTCCAGAGATTCTGGGAAGTTCGGCCGTTTGCACGGCAACCAGCTTTCCCGCAGCAACTTCCTGATCCATGATTTGGCCTATCCTATCAAAACGTCCACACAGAACAAAGCAGCGTGCACAAGAATTCCAATTCTACACCATTCCACCAGGACAGCCCTCGCAAGGCAGTTTTTGATCCGTTTTCTCAACATGACGCTTGCAATATCACAACTAGCATCCAACTTTTTAAAGTCTACCCAGCGCGATTTTAAACAAGTCGACCAACGAAAAACCAACCGAGTCGCCACCGGAGCGCCTGGATGAGACGGAGGTGCCGAGCGGCACACCTTTCGAGCGGAGTGCACCGTGTTTGGTCCACCGGGCGGAGTGCAGGTGATGGAGAAAACGGCGATTGAGATTACTGGTGGAACAACAGAATGGACAAGCAGGCCATTTCGGACATGCTTGTGTCTCCACTACGCACTTGCTGTGGTCAGCTTTTGATAGCCTTTGCTGTGAGGTTGAGCCTGAAAAAAGCAATGGAAAGGTTTGGGGAGGCCATGGACGTAAGTTGTCCGTGGATTGTCGGTGTTTCAGTTCATGGAATGTAGGTTGTTGGTTGCCACATTGGGCAACGGGGTGTGGACAAGCCTGTGGTGCGCTATGTCAATGGCGAAGTGGCGCAGGGTGCCTACGAATCGTTGAAGACGCTGAGCTGGCACAAATCATCATGAATTCGTTGATGGGTCTTTGACATGAGAGAGAGAGAGAGAGAGCGAGAGAGACCGCTGCCTTTCCCAGCTAAAGGACATAAAGGAGACCCCTTGCCTTGTTCTGTGAATGTTTTACTCTACTTTTGCTTGTGGCATTTCACAGCGCCTCGGTGAGGAAAGGAGAGATTGTCTTGGATGGTCAGATTCTGCAAGGGGACTGGAAAGCTGATCGAGGAAGGTGGGCACCTGTTCTTTTCTATCTGGTTAAAAACAATAAGACAAGTATGGACAAGTTGTTTTCTTTGATAGAAGGGGGGAGCGGCGGGGAACGGGCCATCAGCCACAATTTAAAGAGTCTTTTTGTCAGGCCAGGCGTTCTGAACATTGCAGTGAAGCTGCTAGGCCACCACCTGAGCCCACCAAGCCTCGGGAGAGCGTCATGGAAATGCGCCCTGCCTGGGAAGGGTCCTGATGTGGAGATCGACTTTATATAGAGAAAATGCTCTTTTTACTCTGAACGTTTTACAACCTGTTTGAAGGGAACAATGTAGGACTGTCACCCACGTGAAATCCAAGCAGAGTCAGTGCGGAATGACACGCAGGACATCAAACATTTTTGCAAGGGTTTGTGCTGCGCGCTGTAAGAAACGAGAGCCGATCTCTTTGAGACCAAACTGGCAATCTCTGCAAGACTGGCAATCTGTCAACTAGTAAGCCCGCTGTGAGAGAAAAGCAAAGCTGCTTTTCCCTGCCAAGGACCAGCAGGGACTTTCTCACAGGCAAGGTAGATTGGTGAGCTTGAAGGGTGGTGAATCCATCCAAGTCCTACGATATTCTACACCTTAGTATTGTTACTGTAACTACGGATGACTATGCAGAGTCGCTTGGAACAGTTTGTCGATTTGTCTCGGTTCCGCACCGCACCACACCGCTCGACTTACGCGGCGATATCAAATTTGCTCTGTTCGATCACGGCTACTTGGCACAATTGACTTTTCCCTTTTATATAACTCCTTGACTTGTCTTTTTTGTGCTTTATTTTGTGGTTCTCGATCCAACAAGACCTCAACAAAGCCACGTAGTCTAGGGCCTCTCTCAGAATTTCCTTCTGCCACGTTGACTCTACATAAGTGTCATGTCTTTGTCCATGTGGCATCTCATAGATTCAGACACCGGGCAGAACTCACCAATGCACAGTATACAGTATCGAGTTTGTATGTGTGTAATGTAATGTTATGTTGTGTTACGGCATGTCATGTTGTATTCTGTTATGTATGTATTTGTATTAGTATTTGCATATATATATAATTATGTGGCACAATCTTGATGTGCTCTGCCTAAACCATTTGAATTCTAAGGGGTTTGCCTCACAGAAACATCAGAATGGCGGCCTGGCCTTTACAGGTATGAGAGCGCGGCGAAGCCGCAGTCGAGACCGGCGGCGGCGAAGCCAGTTGACCCAGAGATTTGTTTCAAGAATCAACATGTAGCCTTTCCAGGAGTTTGGAGGGTTCCTAAGAACTAGTAACAAAGCTAAACTGGCTTCAAGAACTTGTCAGAAGTGCTTTTTGTTGAACAAGCTGGCTATAATTTGGAGAGAACTTGACTTTGCCGCACTCCCACTTAGTAGCCTGTCACTTTTGCTCTCTGCCATTCACACAGCGCCGACGCAACACTTGGCTCAGCTTGCAGATAAATCTGTGCGTGTGCGATTAGTGCCTGTGAGCCTCTTGAAAGCTAATAGGCATGCCTCGTGACAAGGACGTGTACTTTGCCAAGCTCGCTGAGCAGGCCACTTAGAGGTCAAGTGAGCAACGATCAAAACCAGGCACCAATTTAGCAGACACTGGTTGAAGTTTCCGGGTTCTTTGGAATCTGGCTGAAAAGCCGGAGGATGCCATAGGCCTTCTTGTGAGGCACATATGTCTTGAACTTGTTGAACCTATGTGCAGTTGAGGTTTTGCTTTGACTCAACAATACCGATTTTTGTTGCTCTTTGAGTCATCCGATACACTCATGCACACACTCGGGAAAGAGATTTCTGAAAACGCCTGTCTGCACTTGAAGAGTTCTGAGAAAAGTCTATGGCCTAGGCGGCCTAGGTCCAAAAAATATTGCATTCATGCGGTGCTTAGAAGAAGTCCAGTGTTCCAACGTTCAGTCTTCCAAAATTCCAAATGTGTATGTTCAAGGGATGCAAGATCGAACGGTCAACTGGGCAAAAGCACATCTACACACCCTTTTTTCTTGGTGTACAAGCCCTTGAGAGTAGACAAGTCAAAAAAATGTCAAACGAATGCCAGGAACGTGTCATTAAGAACCAATCTCTATAGATGTAGGTCGGGTGTCTCAGGCATTTGGTTGGGTTGCAGCCATTCCAAGGCGGAACGATACGATGAAATGGCGGATTACATGAAGCTGGGTGGTGGTTGGCAATGCTTATATATATATACTGTATGTTTGTGTGCACCTAGTTGGGAATGGTTGCATTGTCCCAATTGACTGTTTGGGGGAAGAGTCCAACTCACGCAAGGAAGGCCGTGGGAGATGATGGCTCTGAACTATCTGTTGAGGAGCGCAACTTGCTGTCCGTGGCCTACAAAAACACCGTGGGATCTCGCCGAGCTGCCTGGCGCATCATTTCAAGTGTCGAGCAGAAGGAGAAATCCAAGGGCAACGAGACACAGGCTGGCTATGCAAAGGACTACCGTGTCAAGGTGGAAAATGAGCTGCAGAAGATCTGCGACACAATTCTGAAGCTCTTGGATCAGGGTCTTATTCCGAAAGCCACCCAGGCAGAGTCAAAGGCCGGGCACGCGGTTTCGTTTCTATTAAGTGCTGGTTATTGTTCCTTTCAGAGCAAAATCCGTCGTCATGATGTCAGGTTTTCTATCAAAAAATGAAGGCTGATTACTACCGTCTCCTGGTGGCGCATGGCAAGAACGTATTCTTCGAAGGATGTCGGGCTCGCTTAGGAGGAACACATATATCATTTAGCTGTATGAGTTTGTAATAGCATGACCAACATGATGATTTGGTGGCTGGGTATTATGATGTATTGATTTGTGTAGGTTCATATTATATATCTGTGTACGACAGAGTTTCCCCACATTCAAACAAGGTTACATTGCAGAGTTCCGCAGTGGTGATGAGAAGAGCAAAGCCGCAGAGGAGGCACGGAAGGCCTACGCAGAAGCGGCAGAGGTGGCAAAGAAAGACCTGCTTGTCACGCACCCAATTCGTCTTGGCTTGGCCTTGAATTACTCAGTCTTCATGTACGAGGTGCTGAATGACCCTGACGAAGCATGCAAGATGGCCCGCACCGCTTTTGAAGATGCAATTGCTGAACTTGACAACGTCGCCGAGGATTCCTACAAAGACTCGACGCTGATCATGCAGCTTTTGCGAGACAACCTTACCCTCTGGACTTCTGACCAGGAAGCGGGTAACTAGAAATGAGGGTAGTCAACCCTATTGCAGGCGCATCAAAGCAACACAAGCGTTGCGCGAAGCAAGCCTGCAGCAATTTGGGAGAAGGGGGGAACCAAATCACAGCATCGAGCCTACTTGGAAAAAAGTCTCAGAGTCAAACTTGAGATTAATGACCAGCCAAGTTCATGCCACAGAACAGGATGGACATTTCTTGAGACTCCTTGGTTGTCCCACCCTAATATGCTTTGTGCTGGTTTAGTGGTGTTCCTTCGGTTACGAGGTTACCCCAAGGCACTTCCGCGATAATAACGGAAAACAATGGAAAACATCAAAATGGTCTTACAGTTTTGCCCGGGTCTGTCGGACTGTCGCCTATCTTTTAAACCTCACGCCTCACGCACGCTGTAAACGGTAAACATTGAACATACAGTACATCTTATTTTGCCGTGTTGCGCGGGTCTTTGGCCCCTTTTTTGCAAATAGATTTGTTCACTGGAAGCACAGAACTGTAATTATGCAAGATTTTACTTTGAGTGACCCGAGTCCCTCACATGGATTTTTACTGAAAGGTGCGGAAAAACAACCGACAAAAATTGATTCTTTATTTTTTACTGTTTTTCAATCAGTATTGGACTTATCTCCGTGGTTAACACCGAACACTTTTTTTACTGCAGTGCCCGAGGCCCTAAATTGTGATGTTACCGAAAGGCGCGGTAAAACGGTAAGAATCGATCATGGTCATTTTTACCATTCTGTCCGGGTCTGTTGGCCAAATTTTCGTACCAAAGGCGCGGAAAAAACAGTGCATATCGACTTTTTCACTGTTTTTCCCAGGTCTGTTGGCCGAGCTCTAAAAGCGCACAACAATACAGTTGTTTCGCGGGTCTTTACTTTACCAAAGGTGCGGTAAAAACGGTACGCATCGAAAAAATTCGAAAAACATATTTTTACTGTTTTCTTTGTGGGGGTGCAAGCGGGTACCGCTTAGCAAAACAACCTGCGCAAACCGGCTTAGAGCATTCTTGACGATTTGCTTTCTCAATCTCCTTCAATCAAGCTTGGCATACCTCGCCCCCCATACTTGGCTACGAAGCAATTGAGATGATTGGCTTGGATGCACAATGACATGAAGCCATGAATAGCAGCACATGGTGTCGAGATTCTGTTGGCTTGAATCGGTCCTGTCCTTAGGCCGGAGTCGAGATAGACGACGCCGAGATTAAGTGGAGCTAAGCTGCTAAGGTGCGCTTCAAGGCCCTAGCCAAACAACCAGTTTTTGGACAATTGTAATTTGTAACGTTCTTTCTGAAGCCTTTCTGTTGGTATACGGTATAAAAAAGGCACAACCAAAGCAAAAAAAACACAACTCCGAGGACAACATAGCACAAAAAAAAGCGCAACAAAAAGCACCAAAAAAAACACAACTGCGGTTCAGGTTGTTTTGCCTTGCCAAAATGACCTGGCAGTTGTGCTTTTTGGTGGGTATGGGCCCCCACTTACATTTACTTTTGTAAGGCAGAGCCGCCCAGCCAGCCAGCCCAGCCAG